GGACAGGGAGCAGAGGGGTTTAGATGGGTCGGGAGTTCTGGGGGGGGCTGTCAGGGGGTGGGGAGTGGTTGGATGGGGCGTGGGAGTCCCAGGGGTCTTGTCTGGGGGTGGGGGTGTGGATAAGGGTTGGAGCAGTCAGGGTACAGGTAGGGGGTAAGGTTCTAGGGGGCCAGTTAGGATGGGGGGAGGGTCTCAGGAGGGGGCAGTCAGGGGACAAGAGGCAGGGAGGCTTAGGTAGGGGGTGGAGTCCTGGGGGGCAGTTAGGAGCAGGGGTCCCAGGAGGGGGCAGTCAGGGGACAAGGAGCGGGGGGGAGGGTTGGGAGTTCTGAGGGGGGCGGGAAGTGGGAGGGGCAGGGGCGGGGCTAGGGCAGGACGGGGGCGGGGCTCCTCCTGTCCTCTTTTTTGCTTGCTGAAATATGGTAACCCTAGTTTCGAGGATCCTGCACTAAACTTAAGCGGGAGGACAGGGAACGGAAAGGGAGCGTGCATTGCGGGCTCTTCTAGATATTCTTTAGAGCCACACAGCAAGCAGCAGTGAAAATAGAGAAGAGATGAGTGAGTGCTGTGCGGGAGGACTCACTAATAACAAGGGAATTACTGCCTTCTCTGACAGCAGGTCTGATGGGCTTGTGGGAGGCCATGAAAGCTTTCCCGCACTATAGAGACAAGGCAGGCTGATGGCAGCAGAGCTGCTTGGCCTTGGCAGGGACTCTGGCTTTGTTAGGAGTTGGGGGGGGGGCATTTTGTGTATCCAAGGAAGTGGGTATAGCTCCTACCCCGAACTTCCATCTCCTGCTGTGCAAGCAGGGAATGCTATGACCTCCTGCCTTCCTCTCCTGGAAGATAGAAGCCTGCAATTTGAATCTCTTAAGTGGGGACAGTCATCCTGACACTTGGTACGAAGGAGGGTGCAGAAGCTGGAAAGATAAAGATCAGGCAAAATTGGCCTATTCCAATTTTTCTTGTAGTTCAGTTAAGGGACTAGTTACTTCCGATCCCCCTTGGTAGCCTACAGTAGCTGGTCTGCCTTATTGTAAATTGACTGAATGACTAGTGCCCTTCAATCAGGCTGGGTCTTCCCAGCTCTGACAGTACTGTGTAGTGAGCAAAACTGTCCCCTTCCCCAAAAGATGGGACAGAAAGGAGAATCCCTTTGGGAGCACACAGTACTGAGAGACAGATTGTTATCCAACAGCAGAACCATGAAACCAAGCCAAAGGGTTCAGTCGGGGGCAGGGGAGGATTGCTTGGAGAGGTGAGTTTAAGGAATGGTATTGGGGACACTCACAGGCACACAAGCTCTGTTCCTCTTGTGCTGCTGCTCACTCCTCACCACAAATCCTGATCCTCGGCCTGTGGCCGCCCACTGTGCTGCTCATCAGCTGATCTGGATGCCAAGTTCTCTGGGATTGTGGCTCCAACTGAGGAGCAAGCAGCAGGAGCTGAGGACGGGAGTGTGTCAGTGGTAGGTCTTTAAGTTGATGACAAGTGTGTAAGACCTCAGCCATGCAGCTAGGGGACTTAAAAATAGAAGACTTGGGTGAGGCAGTGTGTTTGTAAAAATCTGCATATATGTAAAACCCCCAATCCAGGGTCACTAATTTGCCCCATCATGCCCAGAAGCTTCAATATGTGTGGCCTGTTGCTGCATGGGCCTCAGCACAAGGCACTGCAGGGGAGTTGTGGTGTCAGCCTAGATTGTTAGCTCCTGTCCTATGCAGGTGTACCCACTGACCCTGAGCGCTCTGCTGGGGGGGAGGGGGCGTGTGGGTCTGAAGCAGGTTTGATCCAACCTGGCTTGCATGTCTGTCTCAGGCTGGAGAAGGAGTATGCTGCAATCAAAAACAAAGAAATGGAGGAGCAGATTGAGATCAAAGTAAGTCCTTTCTTTGCTCCATGCCCTCCTTGCTCTAGTGTTGTCTGTATCACAGCAGCACACAGAGGGAAAGGTTATGGGAGGCACCTTAGTTTAACTCTGAGAGCTCATCAGATCATTGCCTCTAATGCTTCTTATTGGTGCTCCAGCACCGTTATCCAAAGCTAGACCTGTAGGGACAGAGATTACAGCTTTACAGACCTTTTCCCCTGAAAAAGATCCCATGTGCTTCTTATAAGCATAACACAGATGCTCCCCTCTCCCATCTGGCCTTTCACATTTGTGTAGCTAACTGCACTTGGGTACTGAAATTCCCCCAGCAACTTCAGTCGGATGCCCCCTTCATTTTTTGTGTGGTGATGCTGCATGCTGTTAAACAGCTGCCATGTTCCACCTCAGAGATAGCTGCACTTCAGAGATGAGTGAGGTGATCTCTATATATACTGTCTGGATTCCCAGGGAATGAAAGGCACTATGTAAGTGTAAGAGATTACTCCTCCTTCATTCTTATGGCTGAATTTGGAGCCTACCCCAAAGCACTGGCAAAGGGTTTTCTGCAGCCCAGAAGTTCTCTTTAGGTCTCTGGTCCATCACTTGCTATGATTTCAGTTACTTCCCAGTAGAGGGCAGACCCAACCTATTTAATAAGCCCAGGCTTGCATACAGGAAGCTCCTGTTGATGTCTCGCTTCTTCCTCTGTAGAGGCTCCGGACTGAGAACCGCCTCCTGAAGCAGCAGATCGAGATCCTGGAGAAGGTGAGAGGCATGCCGGGCCGTGTGCGAATCCACCTCCTCCACTTCCAGACTAGCTTGGCTTCCAAAAACGAGGCCTTGCACAGCCGCCTGTCCCAGCTCACTATCAATGTGCCCAGGAAAGGCAACCATTAGGCCAGGCCATGTAGGCCGCATCATAAGCTCACACCACTACCTGGCATGTCAGTCTAATGCACTGTCGACAATAGTGATGGCTTCTAAAGGAAGGCTTTGGAGCCGGGTCAAAGGGCAGGGACTAGACATACTGTCAGGGTGACTATTAAAGTGATGCTTGTGTGTTCAAATGTCTTGCAAGCTGGATGAGATGCTAAAGCACTTTAAATCTTACTTGCCAGGTCACTGAACTGATGCTTAGATTGTTGTTTTTTTTTTTTGTTTTTTTAAATCTTCAACTGCAGAATAAAATGCATCGAGCCCAAGTCATGAAGATATGCTGAGGTCACTTGTAAAAGGGTATCTCTGGAACTGAGCAGAGTGCCTGATTTCTTTTCCCATGTGGCATTGACCATACTTTGGTGTGGCTTTTAAAACTTATTTACCTGGCCTGCAATTGATTTGATTGCCCTGCCCTTGAGTTTTGTACCTCAGCCTCTAATTCTGTCACTCAACCTCACACTGTAAAATACTTCAAACTACTTAGTTCTTGTGTAAAAAACTTACAAAATGGATTTAAATAAAGCTTAAAAGGAAAATCTACAGAACCAGAGAGAATCCCTGATTACCCTAGGGCTTCCTGGCCCCATGCATGACCGAGGGTCATCTACCAGCCTATCCACACTGCTGTCCTGCACTCTGGCACTATAGTCCTGATCTTCAGAGGTGCTGAGCACCTGCAGCTCCCATCCACCTCAGCAGGTAAACGTGAGCATTCAGCACCTCTGTAAAATCAGACCCTAGATGCTAGGTCCTCTCT